ACAAAGAGTTATATTCTTGATATTTATTTTATATATTTAAATGCCATTTAACAAAGAAAAATCAACCAAAAAAATGAATTTGCGTGTCACCTCTGACACGTGTGTCATAGGTTCACCATCATTGACCTAGGGGGACTTTCAGTAAATGTGCATGGAGAGGATAGTGAGAGATGCGGGAAGTGTACACATGGCATTAAACATTGTGAGGAGCCTCTGCAAGTTGGCGCCCTGTAATTTCTCAGCAGCTTGGAAACGGTGTGCTGTCCTGGTGACTTCTTTGGTTCCCGCGAGCAGAATATCCTGGGGTTTTCCCTGCCCGGGCAGCACGTAGCAGACACATGGCCTGTCTGCCTCCTCTCCTTTTTCGTGTGGCACAGATGTGGGGTTTATCAGTTCTGCCATCTTCTCCGGGGACCTGCGAAGGTCTTTGCCAAGTCACAGTCATTAGAATCAGGAACCCCCCAGCCCACCTGGCGAAGAAAAGGGGGGGTGGAGTGGGGGACAGGCAGACGCAGTCCAAGGCCGCAGTCCTTATGGGAAGCAGAACTCCAGCAGGTTTGCTGCTTCCACTGGCAGTTCACATCGGGTCTCCTGCAGCTTGGCACCCACTTGTCACCGGGTCCACCTCCACCCTACATGTCCCAGGTGCTTTCTGGCTGCAAAAAAATACAACTTAGACATCTTCCCTGGCCTTAGAATCATGAACACTGGAGCTGAGAGGAGCATCTGAGCCTGTCCCTCCCGGCACCAGTCCACACATATATGACCTCAAAGTCGTTCGGGGCACGTGAAAAATACAGATCCCTGATGGCTGCCACCAAGATTCAGACCCAATAGGGCTGAGTGGGCCCAGGAATCTGCATTTTCACAGACAAAACACAGGGGATTTTCAGGGGAGTGAAACTAAACTGTATGAAATGATATAGGCGGGTCCATTTGTCCAAATGCAAAGAATGTACAACACCAAAGAGTGAACCCTAAGGTAAACTGTGGACTTCGGGTGGTGATGATATGTCAGTGTTTTCAATTGCAACTAATGTACCGCTTTGGTGGGGGATGTTGATACTGGGGGAGGCTGTGCATGTGTGCGGGTTTGGGGGTGGGGAACCTCTGTACCCTCCTATCCATTTTGCTGTGAACCTAAAAGTGCTCTTAAAAGTAAAGTCTATTCTCATAGATTTGGCTGCCAGGGCCGGGGGGAAGGGGGGCGGGCGCTGGGTGAAAAAGATGAGGGATTAAGTACACATTGGTAGTTAAGAAATATTCACAGGAACATTCACAATTCATAGGGGAGATTGTCAATGTTATTGTAATAACTGTGTACGGTGCCAGGTGGGCGCTGGAAATACCGGGGAGCACTTTGTGAAGTGCAGGATTGTCTGACCACTGTGCTGGACACCTGAAACGAATACAAATAACAGTCAATATAAACAGTAACCTAAAAAGAAAGAAAATAAATTCTATTAAAAGAAAATAAGAGGGGGAGAGAAGGAGGCTGATAAAGGGCAGTGGCCACCCACATGGTTTCTGCTGGTCACGGTTTGGGTCATGGCTGTCACCCCAGCCCCTCTTCCCTGGGCAGGAGGGGTTGGTAGAGGGGAGTCAGGGAAG